TTCCATTTGGTGGACCTTTCTGTGAGATGTGGCGTACCTTACTTTATAAAATTATTAACCTTTGCAAAGACTGGGATAATTATAATTTCAGAGTGGGGCCTGGCAACCATGGTCAGACCCTTCATTTCTGAACATCAGGAATTCATTGCTTTCCTACAACTTAATGGTGGCCGGAGAATCCAGATGGGCTCCAGGGAGGGTGGCTGGCCCGAGAGCCCCTTTTACTGAGTCATTGTTGTGAGCAAGCATCTTAAGGATCGAGAAAGCTGCTCACAGCTAGAAAGCACACATTATGTGCTGGGCTTTTGTTTTGTTTGTGGGTTTTAGATAGTTACCTCCTATAAAGGGATTTAAGAGTATTCAGTTATGATCCAGTCCTCCTTCCTTTTTCCACCTCAGTATTGAAGCTCTTTGGGGGCCATTGAAGCAAGTTTTCTTAGGAGTGGCTGATTTGGGGAGTTTGATAGAAAACTAAGTGATTGAGCATAGCAACATGATGTGATAGGGTAACAGAGCCTGAATTTGGGAGTCAAGATAGGTCTGGCTTGAGAGCTTGGCTCCCTTGTGTATCCTTAAGTCTCAACATTTATATATATCCCTGAGGCTCAGTTTCCTTTCCTGTAAAATGGGATGATTCTGGTTAATTTGTAAAGTTATTGTGAAGATCAAATGAAAAAATACATACATAACTCCTGACCATTTTATAGTGCCCTGTTATCTTCCTTTTTCTTCTTGAGAGCAAGAGGACCTGATTTTCTTTCTTTCTGTTTTTCTTATCATTGTATAATTGGAGATACATTTGATTAATGGTTGTTTCTTTTTTTAAGCATTATGGTGATGATAAAGGAATTGGTGGTACCCTACACGGGGAAGAGGTAGGCAGGACTTTACCTGTGGCTTTTAATTTCTTTTCTAAATGAAACTGGGTGCTATTCTAGGAAGTGTAGAAGTCTCTGGGACAGTCCCACTTGCCCTTTCTTTTTGTCCTCAGCATGGAGGACTGCTTTGGCTTGGTGGTCTGAATCCTGCTGTGCTGTGGATTTTGTCCAAGCATGTTAGGGCCGGCAGCGAACACAACAGTGATGGCTGGGATGTCATATTCACAGACCTTTGAAGCATGGGCCTCAGTGCTTTGCCCTGAAGACTTGCTCTCAGTTGCTTTCCCTTTTGTGGAGGCGGGGGGAGCTTAAAAAACACTTTGGGAAGGACTTCTTACTGTGGCTCCAAGGCTTTGGTGAGTTGTTGGCAGCTAAGTTCAGGTTGAAATCTCACTGGGGCCTGAGGCTGCTGAGCTGCTGTTCTGAACACGAGCTTGCCTTTCTATGCACAGACCGTCCCTGGATCCTGGTGAATTTCTCACTCTGGGGCTTTCAGGAGAAAGGTTTGTCATTCGTCATCACTCCCCTCATCCATCACAGCAGCACAGGAGGTGCTAACCACAAGAATGGTTAGTTAGAGGGAAAAAGTGGAATCAGTTGTTCACATTTTTCTTTCTTCCAGGTAAGTCTTCCCCCCTCTTTCTGGGAAGTGAATCTACTGGGGGATGCTTGGACTAGAGTTTCTGGGATCATTTTGCTATGTGTAGAAAGGTGAATGCATTTTGCTGATAGCCTGGAGTTGGCCCTATAATCCTTAGATGTGGTTAACAAGAGGTGAACAGTCATTTAATTATTTATTGGGTGCCTGGAGAATTTTATAGGCAGGAGAGCCTAGGGCAGTTCCAGAAAGGAGGCCAATCATGGAGTTTTCTGTGTGCCTCCTTCCTTGGGCTTGATGTCTTTGGTGCTTGCCAACATTCAGTATAGCCCTTAATGCCAGCTTTTTCTTTCTTTGTACCTATATTAACCCACCAATCAAAGTGGATGTCCTTTCAGACCAGTAGGTCTTGCCCCTCTCAGCTGCTGGGAACATTAAAAGACCTTATTTGAAGGCAAGCATACCAGTGATACTGAAACAAGTCATCTGTCAAATGGCACTTCATTGTATTGATAATCACGTTTGCTTTTGAACCATAGGACTATGATTTGTGAGGATCAGAGGTAGGAGCTAAGGTCATTGAAAGCCTTCCCGTGCCTTGGGGCTGGCCTTGTGGTGTAGGAATCAAGAAAAGGAGTAGACTCTGCAGGGTGAAAATTGAACTAGAAGGTGACAAGCTCAGAACCAACCTGGTACAGAGCACAGTTTAACTTGGTAATGGGTGATAGGGCGATGGCTGGCACCAGAACTGCCGGTTGCCTGAACATTCTGCTGAAACATGCTTTTCTCCTTTTTTCCTCTCTTTCTTCTTCTTTTTAAAATTACTTCTTTTTTAGTGTGTGCTGTCTGCTAGGATAAAAGAAGTTTTGGTTGTTGTTTTCTTAGCTTTGGGTGGTAAAGTCTCAACCTGCATGTGTGTTTTGCTGACCACATGTGACAGCCGGTGTGATCTTTCTTCTCTTTGCTTTCTCTGAACCTTCCAAAGAGCGGGGCCCTGTTTCTTGGGGGATTAACTCCTGGTGGCCTCTGTGTCGTTGGTGCTCCCCCACTCACATCAGCATCTAACCCTCTGCACACAGGATGTTTTCTCTAGCGCTTATCAGATGGGGTAGGAGATGTGGGGTGGAGATAGAGGTAACGTTTAACTCATCCTGAATTCCTTTCATGAGTTGGGGCCCGAGATGAACTAACCCAACCACAGAGCTGAGTGAGGCTTTGGCTGGAGCAAGTGGGTTGGGCCCTCCATCTCCAGAGAAGGTGTGGGGCCTGTGGGGTGGTCGGCAGTTGTCTCAGCACCCCTCCCTGGCCCCTGGTGTGTGGGTTTGAAGGCTGCACAATCAGAAAGAAATTTTCTAGTCTTCCTTGTGTGTGGGTTGGATGATTGCATTTGTGGGTTTTCCATACCAGTGTCTTATCTTTTCCCCTCCTTCCTATCTCCCAGACTGGCCTTTTGGCCACGTTGCCCAGTTTGCACCCCTTTGCTAAGGGAGAGTAGAGAAGGGAGTAGAAAGCAATTCAGGCACCTGTATGTCGATATAAGGCTTTTTTCTACACTGATGCATTTAGACTGAGTAGAAATTTAGATTTTCTGATTCAGCCCAGCTGGACATATGTAGAAAACTGGGAGTTAAATGTATTCGATTCTTTGACCTCATAATAGCTCCTACTTTGAGGGCAGACAGGACAGAAATAGAGGAAGGAGTGGTTTAGCATAATTCTGTGAGTAGTTACCAAGCATGTACCTGCCTATAAATACAGCCTGGACAGAGGTAGCTGGTAAAAGACATCAGCCTTCACTTTCAGCAGCTGAGATTTGAGCATTTCTTACTCATTCTGGACCAGGCCATGTCCACCATGCTTTTCCCCTGTTTACTTCTTTTTTATAGCAAGAAGGGAAAGGAAGGTGGCCCCGAGCAGCCAGCCGTCAGCACTGGGCCCCATAGGAGGCTGTATTACCAATGATGAAAAAAAAAAACCAAACCAAGGAAAAAAATGGATTCATACACCTCTATTTGGATTTGCTATTCGTATTTCTCTGGGAAAATCATTGGATTCACTCCTGGGCCAACAGGTAGGAGATCTGTGGGACATGGAAGACAGAATCCCTGGGTACAATGCACCACAGGACTTGGCTCGCTCAGCCTGCAAAATCGGTAGTGTCTTTATAATTTCTCCATCATGTGGAAGGAAACTCATTCTGTGGGGTGGATATTGGCCAGATCATGGTTTGCTTATTGCTGATACCACAGAGAAAATGTATCTCTTGTCATCTGGACATTCTTTTAGGGGCACTTGAGTGATTTTAGCCATGTTGAATAGCAAGATTAAGTTCATTAGGGTACCAGAAGAGGAGATTAACATTGCCGTCACCCCTGAGATCGAGGTTGGTTAATACACTGGCAGCCATACTTCCCTTTTCCTGACCCATTTTTCAGAGTAGGCCACAGCTTTACCCACAGGACGGTATCTACCCACCTGAGGAAGACACATTTGTAAAACATTAGGCCAGTTTGTGATTTGGCACCTGCTAGGTAGGTATAGGAATACATGGAGAATGTCCTTCTGGTAATTAACCTTAGTTTTCTCTTGTAATCTGGGTTTCTTTTTCTGATTCTTAGAACAAGCCTGAGAACTAAAGCTGGCTGGACAGCCCCAAACTCTACCCTTGGGTGAAACCCTGGGTGTGGCTGTTTTGGTGAAGATGGGGGGGAAAAAAGGTGGAATACCTGTTTTCGTTTCATTTAAAGCAATGATGTGGCCTCTCTCTGGCTTCCCTTGTTTGTTTATAAACTCTGCTTAAATGAGGGTTTTTTTTTCCATCTCTCCCTCCCCCTGCCATTCTCTCTTCCTCCTCTTATCCTAACAGTCTCATAGGTAAACTTAGAAGGAAGACAAATCCTTTTCAAACTGTCACCGAGGGTGCCATAAAAGAGACATTTGGACAGTGGTTCTGGGAGATCCTTGTCTTTGCTCAATGTTAATACAAAAGGACTGGGATAGCCCAGATCGCCAGGGGAAGGCGGTTTTTCTTCATTTAGCTTTTAATTGCTTTCTTTCACTTTTATGTATAAAAGATTGTCCATTTAATTAACTCAAGAATGCAATTTCAAAAACACTAATGCTTTACACATGATGGCTTTTAAAATAAAAGTAGCATTCTAATATTGCATAATGTTTTTCTGTCCCCTCGCTCTCCCCCTCCTCCACCCTCCACCCCTCTGGTCTGTATTAACCTTTAACAGTGGAGGGTTGTTAGGTGAAAAATGCTGGCCTTGATGGTGTCTTTTTGCCTTCCCTTTCTACTGAGTGAGTATTCTCAGTAGTGGGGCAGCGGCCTCCCTTCTGAACTGTTCTGCCACTTCTGTGTGGAGGGGGGATTATGTGTCCCTTCTCTCCTGGCCCATCTCATCTCTATACTTACCCACTTTTGGGATCAATGTGACCCCTACTTCTGTTGCTGCCTTTTAATAAACATCATTGTGATGTTTTATATGGGAAAATGAAAAGAAAACCCCAGTACTTACTTAGCTTTGGTTTTCTTCAGATATTTCATGAGAAGAAGCCTGTACAAATTGGCCTGAGGGTCTCTGATTTCACCATCTTCTCTTTTCTGTTAGAAAAGAAATCTAATTTTTCTCATCTCTTCTTATCCCATTACCACTGTAAAAAATGTGACCTTCTAGTATCTTTGGTTTTTCTTCTTTTGTAGTGAAGGTTCTTCTTATCTCAGAGTTTTGCCCTTCAGACCGACCCTCATAGCCTAGTCCCTACTCAATCAGTGGTTATTTTCGGTTTTTCTTTTCTGGAAGTATAGTTGTTTTGACAGGTTCGTCCTCACCAGTTCGACTTGGGGAGGAGCAGCCGTACAGGTACACCCCTGAGGTAGAGAGCTCTGGTACCTGTTACAGTGACCCTAGCCCTGAGGTGGCAGGGACCTGGTGATCACTTGATTTTCTAGATAAGATAAGGAAATGGAATCTCAGAGGGGTCAGTGACTTACCCACTCTCACACTGCCAAAGCAGGTCATAGCCTGAATGAGATCCTCTTGCGTGGTAGAAGTGACCCTTGCCAAACACAGGGAGCTGGATTCTAATCCAGGTCCTGCAAGGCAATTCAGGATTCATGAAACTCTCCTACCTGAAGCCTGCATGTGTTTCCTTTCTGATGATTTCCACAAAAGAACTTTATAGATCTGTAAGTTATATCATTTGCAGTCAAATGATCTCACTCTTTCAAATCTCAGATTAACCCTATTTTCCTGTGTTCTGGCCTCCCTGGTGCTGAAACACTTGGTCATTTAGCATGGACAAGTCCAGTGACTCTGCCAGCAGCCTCTCTTGTGTAATGATGTGGGTCACTGTTAAAGAGATCCTTTCTCCCATGATGTCCTCTCTCCAAATAGCATGATATTTTAGTCTACCAAAATGGTTGCAGTTCTGCATTTCCTTCCCTAAAAGAACTGTTTTATAGCTATTAGAAGTTACTAAAAGATTGTTTTCTTTCCACAGGATAGGTGTAAAACTTTTTCTCCACTGTGTGTCGTGGGTATACACATATACATCTTGAGAGGATTTTATGCTCTCTGTTCCATATATATTGGTAAAAATGAACTTTGACATGAATGTTTGTCATTGAGGAACAGGACTGGGCTGAGATGGGTGAGGCTTAGAGATGTTGTGTACCACCTTCTGTTTATGTTTTTTCCCTTCTGTTTGAGGAGAGGGATTTTCAAATAAACTTGGAGCAAATAACGAATATAGTGAGAAGTCTGGGACTTGCTTTTTATTTTTTTATAAAGTCTGCCTTCCTTGTAATGAGATCCCTTGTCCACCTCCCACCTTTATTACTATTATTGTTGTTGGTTTATACTTAGCAAATACTCATTGTTGAAGATGCTGGGAGGGTTTTAAATGCTGCTTGTGAGCCAGGGTGGCTGACAGAAACCGTACAGCTTTATCATTCATTAATTCTTGGGTTCATTCATTGAGCTATTTAAACTTCTGTGTGTAAGGCAGCAGTCCCAGATGGTCTTTTGGTGCCAGCTTTAGCTCTGAGACCCCAGGCTCTGACAAAAGAGGGCACAGAGAGCAGCTGAATATACAAAATATTTCCACCATCAGAAAGCTATTCCTCAGTTTCATAGCTTGAAAACTAGAATACCTATCATCTCCAGAATTTTAGGATTATTTTTTCTTGTCTTTTTGCTTTTTAAAAAGAAAGCCCAGTATTAATGTGTGAGCCAGCTTTCTCTTACTGCCACAGCAGTCACAGTAGCTGATTTTTAGAGTGGAATTGATGGCCATGTGTTTATGCATGGGTCTCCTCGGCCTTAGTGCTCAGCCTTCTTATTCTGGAAGGGTCTCTCTTTTAACATCGAGGTGAAACTGAGCTCCTTCTTTCTTCCTCTCCATTTCATTCGACTCTCTAAAGACACCAGAGCCTCTGGGAAATTGCCAGTCAGGGTTTATTAAGGGTAGGTGGTAATGGCTATTTGCTTCCTTATGTATGGGGTAGGTGGCTACCTACAGTGTGCCAGTCTCTGAGCTTTGATGTGTCACATGTCCCCATTCAGTCTGTAGGACAGGCCTTTGGAATCATGGTATTAAAAATGAGAACTTCATCTGTACCGATGAGAAGTTCAAAGAGATTAGACATTTAGTTCATGATTTTGAGTTGGTTGGATTTCAAACCCAGATTTTTCTTATTGCTTTAGCTTGTGCTCATAATGCCCTCCTGGATTTTCTCTGTGGATATTGGCATAGGTCGGCCTCAGTGGTGATAGACAGACTGGGATACCCAGCTGGAATTGGCTTCACCAAACTGGTCATGCCCACCTCTGTGTTTGCATCATCTGTGGGCCAGACCTGCTTTTGAGCTGATGGGATGGATTTGTCATTCCAGCCAGTGGCTGGCTTAATTGAGCTGAGACCTAGCCCTGTGACAGGGTGGGTTTTAGAGGAGTCAGGCAGAGGAGGTAGAAAAAGATAAGGTCTCCCTTGTGCCTTGAGGTGTAACATCTTTGGCTTAACCAGGTCTTTGGCTAAACCAAAAATGTCTGCATCTTTTCCTGGAATCCCAGATCCTTGAAGCTGGGGACTGTCCACCATGACTGCTGCCAGTCACCCCTGGAGAGATGTGGGGCTTGATAGAGCTCACCGAGGCTGGAGTTTGAAGCACAGAGAGGCCCAGATGTTTTGCATAGTTTTTTCCGTGGCCCTGATCAGGAATGTGTTCCCTCAGGACGGGTTATGGCCTGGAAGTGAGCCTAACGTAAACATCCTTGCGGAGTCCAGACCCCTTAATCCATTAGAAATGGTTTCAGGGAATGAACAGTTGGGGTGGGGGGAGAGAGGAAAGGAAGAGCTGGGGGGAAGGGGGAGCGGTTTAAGGATTGACTTCAGAGACAAAGCTGCCCAGGAGCTGACCTCCCAGTGGTATGGGCAAGGAGGCTGGCTTCACAGAGTTGGTGTGTTGTAAACTGGGCAGATCCCTCTAGGGATTGGTTGTCTTGGGCAGAGTGATATGTTGAGGGAAAGTACAGGAATCTTGGTTTGGCTTACCAGCTGGGCAGAGCCATAAGGGAAACTGAGGTTGTTTAAAGAGCCATGGAATTGAGAGGAGAGGGGAGTGCCAGGGTCCTGACGAGGACTTCTGAAGGAGCCTGCCTGTTGAAGGACTTTGAAGGCCTTTAACACCATAGTCACTGTAATACTTTGAAGTGATATTTTGAGGGACCTAGATTCTGAGAAAGGGCATGGTGAATGTGTGGGAATGATCCCTGTGTGTGTCTGTATGCGTACTGGAGGGGTACTTACGATGCTGGGTGGGACCCTCAGTCCAATTGAAAAGCTGCTGCTAGGGCCTGGGATTTAGCTCAGCGGTTCGGTGGCCTGCCTTGCAAGTGCAAGGACCGGAGTTCGATCCCCAGTACCACAAAAAAAAAAATTAATAAATAAAAAGAAAAAGAAAAGCTGCCGTACCATACCTTTCCCCATTTTCCCCTCTTCTTTTGGGGGCCTCAGACTCACAGACATTCTGAACATTCATCCAGACCGTCACTAAGGTGGAGGATTGGGCATAGAAGGACCTGCTGTGACAACCTGTGTGTAGATCCCCCAAGCAGTAGCCTGGCAACCCCAGGAGATTCCATTTCCTCACAGATACCTTTCTCTTTCTTAGGGAATCTAGGAAAATTCCAGGGAAAGCCATGAGCAGAGCTCTTGCTTGGCTAGTAAACTATTAGGGATTTTGTGGATGCTGGTTTAAGAGAATTTGCAGAGTTGGTTAGGCTGATGTAGATTCTAAGAAAGCAGGTAGGCAGTCGGGGGAGAGCAGGAACCGGAAGGCAGTGGGAGCCGGTCTTTCTTTTCTGGTATCTCAGGTCTTGGTGCTCGAATGTGCCAAGGTGAGGGAAGAGGTAAACAATTTCATTTGCCTTCAGGATGCAGGATCTAATCTAAACATGATTAAGCTGATTTGATTTTATAGATTAGAATTTCTAAGTGATAGAAACTGATGAGGTTAATGTGAAATATTTACTTAATAAAAAGCCTCATTACCTGATGCTAAAGGGTAGAGGGAAAAAAAGATTCTTGGTAACGCGTTTGATCTTTTGGAAATGAAGTTGGGTTAAAGTTTTCATGGTAAAAAACTGAATTCTGTGATCTTGTTTTTACACATGCTGTGCTTAAATATTAACACCAATTGAGCAAATTGCCTTTTAACTGCCTTTATTTGCTTTCATTAACAGTATAATTTAAAAGCTCAAGAATTTGCATGGAACCTGTTGTGCATGTTGGGGGGAAAACTATTCATAAATTAATTAATCGTGAGAACATTATCTTTAAGGAAGGTCACAAAACATGAATGTGGTTTCTGAAAATCAGTGGTATGTTTTTGCTATTTCTTGAGGATGTTATACTTTTGGCTTAGAGATCTCCAGTGCATGCTTTGTGTGTGTGTGTGTGTGTGTGTGTGTGTGTGTGTGAGAGATAACTTGGCTAGAACAAGAAAAAAAGTGTAATGACTGGACATGTTTTAAGTTAAGTTGAGTGAACCTAATTATACTGTAGTTTCCAGAGAGCTAAAGGCAATACCGTTGGTATTTAAGCTCTAGTTTCAGAATTAAAGCCAACCTATGTAATTGCCTGTGTTCCTTAAATTGTGTATCTGTTTTTTCCCTCCTTCTCTGAACTCTCTCTCCCTTTCACTTTACACTAATAAGAAGAGAGAGAAACTGGTCAGTGCTGCCAGCCAACCGCAAGATTGTTCCTCCAGCGGGGAACATTAACTGCATTGTCCTTTCATGAAATTACTCTAAATATCTTGAAAGGGTCCAGAATGACTTCACTGAAATGACTTGCTTCATTCTGTACAGATGTTTTCGTGGTTTAGAACCCCAGCCAAGGCAAACATTAGAATGGATGCAGAGACCACCGTGTCCTTCGGAAGGCTGAGTGCTCCTCTGGGGCCTGTTTGACACACACTCTTCTGACACCTCTGTTTTGACAACACTTCCTGGTACTGATCGTTTGTTGTGGATGGTTTTTCTAATTAATTTAATGTGCAGCCTTGTTTTTCTGGGTCTGCAGATACCAAGATGCTAAATTTATTTATCTTCAGTGTTTTTGTTGGCTACTGTTGAGATACATTCTTTCTCTTCCCTTTTTTGCTGTAAGTCTCTCGAGACCTCTCCCCCTACCCCTTTTTGAGGCAGTCAGACCCACTTCAATAAAGAATCTCTCTTGTATTCATTTGTCAGATGTACTTTTTGTGGGAGGAAGAGTAGTGGATGTGTATTTTAAATAGTGTGATACATGTTTAAAAGGTCATATACAACTGCCCCCAAGATACAGAGAAAAAGATGGGTAAATTCAACTGCCTCAAAGATTTAAACGTTTTTACATGCTTTTGTGTTAGGTTTTTGCCTTTTCCTTGCACATTTGTTGCTTTTCTTTCTGTGTAAATGAAAAATATTAATCCTTTATCTGTCAAATGCATGGCAGTACTTTTCCCAGTCTATCATTTGTTCTACAATCTTGATTGTAGGTCCTTTTACACCATTTTTATTAATTTAATTTTAAAATGTCACGATGATATCTGTAGTGATAGTGTAAGCTCTTGGATGGTCACATTTCAGATTTTGAATTGGGCCAGAGCATTCACTTGAGGAAGGCCGGGTGAGGGTGAGGTTAAATGAGGTTGATTTTTTTTTTTTTTCCCTCTTGTAAAGAAGACCAGTATCTTCTGAGCACCATTTCTCTCTAAGAGAAACATTGCTCTGGTGCTTTTAGCACGTACTTGTAACATAAGGTTTCCATGTTCTGAAGAGACCCATCCTAAGAGCTGCAGTCTGGAAGGCAGGGCTCCTGCCTGAGACCCAGTTGAAGTGCAGGCTTCACAAAACTATTTTGTTTCTCCACGCTTCTTCTCAAGTTATCTCTTGCTTTCTGGCTTATGCCAGAAATACTTCTGAATGTCTAATCTGTCTTGTTAGAATATCACTTGACAGCAAAGACCCTGTCTACTATTCACTCATCTTTGGATTCTACACTGTCTTTAGCAGTCAGTGTATAACAACTATTTATAAATAAATAGTTTAGCAAACAGATCAACTCTTGTTGTCCATTTTTTCTCTCCTGTACGTGCTTCTGAGATTTGCCTGTCCTTCAGAAGAAGGGCTGAATACCTTAAGAACGATACTATGGGTATTGGCATCAATTAGGTTGAGACACTGACTTGGAAACCGGATGGAATTTTGGGAAGAAGGAAGGAGAGAAAACCGGGGAAGATGCATGGATCTCAGGGTCTTTCCAGTGTAAAGACCTTCTCATCATCACCTTTCCCTGAAGGTGAGTTCTGACAGCTTATTCCACAGCGTATTTATTGAGTGTCTGCCAGGTGTTCTACCTTGAGTGAGTCCATCCATGTGGGACAGAGAACAGGTCATGAGCTCTGCCCTTTGGAAGCTATTCAAGCTATTCTCTAGTTTAGATTTAGAAAATTTAATTTGTTCAGGAAGAAGGGTAAAATAAAACAGACTTTTATGTTACCCCTCATCCTATTTTGACTACCCCTTCTGTCCTCTCCTGTCCCCATGTAAAGCTGGGTGGGGCTATCTTTTTGAAAATCAACTCAATATAAATCATTGGAGCAGCCATAGTTACCTATTTATCCAGTTAGTCTTGAACTGAAACCCAGCATTCATTTTGTTATTTGTATATTCATCTAGTTCATCATTCAACAAAAAGTTGTGCAATCAATATTCACTAGATTAGCCAAGTTTTAAGTACATATGGTTACTACAGTTCTACTTCTCCTCTTTAGGAGATTGATTTATTAGTGGCAGTAATGGGTGGTAGAGATAAAATTGCTACCAAAAACCTCATTCTGTGGGTTGTCTTAAAATCTCCAGATGATTCAGTAGAAGTAGTACCATTTCCTTTTTTCTTTTTTTTTTTTTTTTTTTTTTTGTATCAGGGATCAAACTCAGGGCCTTATGCTTGCTAGGCAGGTGCTGTGCTGCTGAGCTATATCACTGGCCAGAAGTGGGACCATTTCTATCTCCATCATGTTTTTAGAAATTAGTTAGAAATCTTAGGGTCTAGAATAACCTGATATTCCAACTGAAGAATGTGTCCCTGATAGTTGACACAGCGTCTATTGCAAAGTAGGGGATCAATTTGCTTTTTGAAGGACAGAATAAGGTGTGAAGAGTGGAGGTAGAGAAATTACAAGAGAAGTTAACTTTGGATGAGGGAATGGGAGGAAACCCTGACTGGTAGCAGTTACACAGGGGACTACAGTATACATGGGTAGTTTTTCACATCTTAAAAAATTTTTCTAATATTGAGGCTTGAACCCAGGGCCTCATACAGGCTAGGAAAGAGCTCTACCACTGATCTACATCCCTAGTGCTGTCTCAAATATGTATAAAAAAAATTTTGTTTTTACTCGTCTCAAGTGTGATTGCTCCATATCTTTGGTGTAGCATTCTGAGTTTAGCTCTGCTGGGGAACAGGGAGATAATTTAAGCCAGGGTGTTTGTAAAAGTTTGTTTTGGTTCTTATCAGAGTTCTTTCCAGGAACAGAACATACTTTCCAATACATGTGACAGAGGTCAGGAAGGAAGTTAATGTGTTCCCTGGAATGTTGCAGGCATGAGCTGATTTTCAGAGGTGCTGCAGTGGTTTCTGTAGGGACAGACTAGGTGCACAGAAATAAAGCTTTCATGGCATTGATTCTCCCCTCTCCTCCCTTCTCCTTTCCTTCCTTCCTTCCTTCTTTCCTTTTCTTCTTGCATGCGGAGGGAGATTGAGAGGGTGTGTGCGGAATATGAGGTAGAATGGAATATTGCACCACTGCAAACATGTGGGGCCTGTTAATTCCTTTTCCCCATCCATAGAGCTTTAAGTCTTTTATTACCCTCTCTGAGAAGGTCCTTCTGGAAAGTACAACTGTTATTTTATACACAGAAGTAGACCATAGTGGGGAGAGTGTACACGCCTCTGGCACAGAGTGTTTTGGGGTCTGTCTCCTCTCAGAGGTCAAAGGTGAGGCATACTTTTTGTTGGTGGTATTTCCCTCCCCACCTCTTTTTTTAAAACACCCTTTCCTTGTTATCTCAACTCCCAAATGTCAGCTTTGATGTCTATTGTTGGGACTTCAAGAGGACTCTTAGCACATCAGGCAGGTGTTGGTTTTAGTGAGCAGGCGAGAGTTCCACATTCTTCTGGGGCAGAGAAATGGGTCCCACCAAATTCTGACCCCTAAAGCAGGATTCCCTGATGCTGCACCTCTTCCTAGGGTTGTGCTTGCTAGTACCTGGTGGGCTGGTGGTTGCACACCAGTCCCCCCACCTTCATTTTCAAGTCTGTCCAAAGGGATCTGTCTTCCTTCAGAGCAACTGGAGAGGGGTTGTCTTAACAGGCGCGTATTAAGGTTCCATTAATCAAAGACACTTCCATTGCCCCTTTACAGAAACACAACTGCTTTGGCTGTCCTTTGCTGACAGCTCGCTAATTTATCTTTTCTGGAGGAAGGGAGGGGAGAGGGACAGTGAGGCAGGCGGTGCTGCAGAAGTGGTCTCCATGGCGGCTCCTAGCGTGCACGTGTGGGGTCATGGGTTCACTTTAGGAGATGGTACCTCAGTTTCATAGGTTCATTCAGAGCAATGGACAGCTGGTCACATCCCCTCCTACCTTCTCCATGCAGCAGAGTAAAAAAAAAAATCACTAATAAAAAGAGAGAGATGGGTTTACATTGTTTTATTTGTAAGACAATTTTTCACTTTTGACCCCTAGCCCCCAAGATTTACTGAAACTTTGGGCAGAATACTCTAGAAGAAAGAAATGAGGGTACAGGTACATGGATATTCTTGGTGAAGTGTGTGTGTTTGGGCGGGGGTGGCTGGTGATGTTAATGCCTGGAAGTCACTG